GTGGAGAGGGGCGCGCTCTTCTAGGGATGGGGGGCCAGCGCCGCCGCAGCACAACTTTGCCGCAGAGGATCGCAGCTCTCAATTGTTTGGAACGCCCAGTTTCGGTTGCCAGGCAACTGACCCGCCAACTATGACAGGGATGAATCCCTTCGAGGAGGGCGCCACCTGGCGGTTCGAAGCAGGAGTCCCCTCGGGAAGAAGCTACTGGGATTGCTGAGGGAAAGGCGCGCTGTGTGCGGGAAGTCCTGGGTTTGGACTCCTGAGCCTCGTTTGCAAAACCTCCCACCATAAATGACTTCTGCAAAAGACTTTAGTTTCTAGAGAAATCCTAGAAGATGACCCAGAAAACTCCTTCTCCCTTGCAATTAACAAAAATACTTCCCTATCTGCAAAGCAATAAAAGAATGGAGCTATTGGAAGATTGAAGAGCCCACGTGTCATGACTGGAAAATTATAAGGCAGTTTCTTTGCTTAAACTCGGTTTAACCGTACAAGCATCAAGGCTTCTAACAGAGCCGGCTGCAGAAGCACAGACCAATTTGGCGGGATGGAAGTAAGAGCTCTAGAAGTGGCTTTTGCGGGAGGTGACAGCTACTGGGGCCCCTTTTCTAGACGATGGAGGTGAGAGACGGCGTCACAGTCTTCTTTCTATTGGTTCACACGCCAAATTCGCAAAATTAGAGATGCTCATAGACAGCCCTTGGCCCAAGTGGGCAGCAGGAGGTGAAGTCGTTGCCAGTGGCTTGGAGGATGCCTCCACCGAGATCTTTACACACGCCCAGCGCCTGCCTGTCGTGCCGGTTCACACCCGGGCGCGAGCACTCCCACGCCGCGCGCGCCAGCGGTGGCGGCCGCGCGGGCCGCCGGGGTGGGCGGCTGCCATGGCGACCGGCAGGTGAGCGGCAGAGGCGCGCGTGGTCCCTGCCCCACCCGCGCGGAGCGAAGGAGGATGCGGTTGTCAAGGCGACGTGGGTCGGAGGAGGGGAAGAGGACGAGGGAGGAGGAAGGATGGGCGGCCTGGGCGTAGCGGCGGGGAGGTGACTGAAGTGAGCCCAGCCCCTTGCATCCTCCCCTGTGTACCTCCCTCGCCTTTTATTCCGCCTTCTGCCGACCGAAGCCTCAGACGCAGCACCTGAGCCGTTACTGCCGCTCGCTCGGGACACCGCGATGGCTGCGCCCCGGC